TAGGAAAGCTCACTAATCACATGACATTATCAACTATTTATGGTCAAAAATCAGAAACAAAAACCTGTGGTCAACACCAGTTTATGCAGCAGAGAGAAAAAGGAGCTACTACCTTTTGCAACAACAGATACTAAAGATTATGCTGAAGGGCGGATACCAACCACCTGACAGGAAGCTAAAGAAAAAACACAAGCACGAAAAAAACAGACCTAAAAAAACAAGGGCACGACCAGAGGAGAGGGAAGGGACTAGGGGAAAAAGGGGGAGGGATTTTGAAACAAGTAAGACAAGAGAGGGAGGGGGGGAAGAGGGGGGGGATCGGGAGTAACTAAATAAAAAAAAAGTGTCCCTTTGAATCATTTACTTATCTGAGGAAAATATGGTGACTGATAGGAGAATTACATTACATGGGTTCCCCATATTTTTAAAAATTTCAGAGGACTCGACCAGCTGAAAATCCCAGAAGATGCAACTTTGCCCACAAAGCTCATGGGTTGCTAGACCCATGAATAAGTAGACCCAGTCATAATGGGGTCATATTAAACAGCTGAATGAATAGGAAAGATAACATGTAAAAAATACTAAAAAGAACAGATATATGAGAGAGATTGAAAGAGAAGTTGAGAGAAGAATGAAAATGAACTACTGTACTTCTTCTTGGATGTATCATTTGTAATTCCAGTCACTCATGAGATCCTACTCTAGTTTCAGCCCTTGAACTTTAAGACTCTTTGTATAGCTTATTTATGCATTGTATCTTTTTTATTAATGTTATTTTGAATATATGTCCATTTCTTGCAACTAAGCTCAAACTAAGACCCAAACCCAAGTTAGTTATGATAATCTGATCAATTTACCATGTCTTTGGTTCTGATGTATTTGTTGACCTTCAAGCTCAAATAGCCAATATTCTATTTGAAATCTTCATTCTATATCTAAAATCATTTCAGACTTAACTGTCTGCAACATAATTCTTATTTTCTTTATTTTTTTAAAGATGAACATAATTATATGGCAAGTTTCTCAGTAAATTCACCAAAATTAACCCAGGTGCTCAGGCCAAAAACCTATTGCCCATTTTTGACTCTTTTATTTTCCTTATATACTTCTTACCGGACACTACTACTGTCATTGATATCCAGTTGCCTCTTTCCAAACATGTGGGAGAATAGCATTTCCCTGTCTCCTTGGTGCCTTGCTCTTGGACAATTAAATGTGAGGGACCATTAGATGCACCATTCCTTTGTAGAACATTGAAGAGCTGTTACTTGATTGCCTGTCTTTTCCTGTCATGTGATAGATGATGTTTCACATGGAAGAATATCCATCAGCCTGAGTTCCTGACTAAACCAGAACCTTCTGCTGACTCAAAATATACAAGTAGTGTGACCAAACATTAAACCTTTGCTGCTTTATGGCACTGAGATTTGGAGGTTGTTTATAACTGCAGCATAGGCTAACCTACCTTAAAACAAGCCCCAAATTGTGTTGCCTCCATTACCAAAATATATTCCAAAATGCAGTGCTGTCACCTCCTTTTCCAGCATCACTGTATTCCAAAGTACCCTCATTTTTGCCTGTATTTATTACAAGAGCCTCCTAACCAGTCTTTCCTTTTCTACTCAGACATCTCCCAGATCCATTCATTCTCCAAGCTGCAGCCATACTTTTTTGTTATTTTAAATGTGAATTTAATTATGCCATCCCTTGCTGACACCCTCAACAACGTTCAATTAGACTTAGAATAAAACTCAAAGTTTCTCAATGAACCCCAACACTCTATGACCTGGCCCCTACCTACTTGTCCAAATTTGTCTCCAATCATTCTTTTATCTCTCTGCTTTAACCACACTGTCTCTTCTTACCATTGCTTGCAAATGGTAAGCTCATTCTTCTCTCAGGATTTTTCTTTTGCTGTTCTCCCTTTGTGAAATGTTCTACCGCAAGATCTCTGTGTGGCCTGTCCTGCTCCTTCCCATCATACAAATATTTGTTCCAAGATTACGTCCTCAGAGTACACTCTACATTATATAAAACCACATCCCCAAATAACTATCTATCCAATTGCCTGTATTATGTTGTAAAGTAGTCTTTGAACTATTTTATTTCTTCATATGTTTAATTTATGTTTACTTTTCTCAAACTATGCATATCATAAGGAAAATTGTGGGGTTTTTAGTGTTCTGTACTTGGTATGTAGGACAGTTTCTTGTGCTTAGTGGAATTTAACAGATATCAAATTAACCATCAGAATTTCAAAATAATACTGCAGTGAAGAGGCAACTGAGGAAGAATACTCTTGCATAAATCTATAATCTATTTGTCTTATTACAGAACAGAAACAATATAAGTCAAAATATTGCTAATCAATTTGTATACCTATTATCCATATCTTACCACCTTTAAACTATTTATTAAGTAAAACTTGGCTTGCTCAAGTTATTGAAACAAAAATCTTTTTAAAGGAGACCGGGATATGTTGCAATAACAATTAACTGAGTGATTCTTAACTCAAATTAGCTCTCTTTTTACAATATAGCCAAGAAATAAGCAAAAAAACAAAAAAAATAGGAAAGCAAAATAACAGACTCTAAGTCAAAGTAGTATGGTAAGGAAATTAGAGCAAAAACCATTAAGTAGAAAACACTAAGCTAACAAATTTCTATGGAAAGAAACTGAATAGTTAAGTAGAGGGAATCCTTCAGTAGAACTCATCAATGAGCTGTAAATGCAAACATGTTGTTTCCTCTTCATTATCACCAACTTGATGATTTGTGTGGCTATGTGTACTTCCAACACATGCCAAGATGACAATGTGAACTTCTGATGGTGGAGAACAGCCTATTATTTTAGTGGAAAAAGAAGATTTGCACCAATACACTAAATCAGTTATCAGCTTTTATTCATGAAGCCCTCCACACTTTTGCAAAGCAGATGGTCTAGGTAAGGATCCTGTACCATATGACCAAGAGATATTTTGAAGATACCTGCTTTCAAAGGGATTAAAATTCTTTCCCTTGCCTATGGAGCATTCCAAGGAAGAATGTGGGAGCCAGGAGGGCTGACTCAGACTCTCTGCCTCTGACTCTGAAGGCTTGAGTATATCACTTAACTTCTTTACTATAGATGAGAATAAGAAAACAATACCTACCCTGTATGTTTCATAAGATTGTCATGAAAATAATATACGTCAAAGACATGTTTTGCAAACTGGCTGTATCAGATTTCTTTGATATATTTCTTTCAGATAATTAAATTATCCTCTAAATTGAAGTCATACAAGGTCTTTTCAGAAAGTACCCAGTCATATAATATGAAAAATAGAGACATTTATTGAAGAAGATACAAGATACATTGTACATAGGACAATGATACCTCAGTTCCCTTAAATGTAGGCACCTTGGGACCTCACCCAGTTCCAATTGCCATCAGCTGCCCTGCCATATTTTCCTGAATCTAATCAATGGTCTGAAATTTCTTTCTTTCCAAAAGTAATTTTACTTTTGGGAAAAGCCAGAAATCACAGGGCACCAAATCTTGGCTGTAGGGGTACTGAGTCACCTGAGTGATTTGATGTTTCACCGGAAAACTCTGTACCAGATGTGATGCATGAGCAGATGCATTGTGGTGATGAAGCTTCCAATCACCAGTTGCCCATAGCTGTGGCCTACTGAATCATCTGAATAGATTTCATGGAAGAATGTTCTAGTTAACACAAAATTTGGTGCAGATTCAATGCTCTACTTGCTCATTATTTTGAATACCACAGCCACATAGTACACATGCTCACTCAAAAGTGTCGACTGCCCCCACTCACTAGAACAGTGAAGTCATCATTTTTCACCCATGCACATTCCAGTCCACTTTTCTTGGCTGCCATCAACAATGGTTGGCCTTTTTTTGGACAGACCTCATATGTCTGTCTTTCAAACTGAGAGGAAAACAAAGAGCAAGCAGCAGAATACATGTTTTGCCATTTGTTCTTCACTTTTATTTGAGATTAGCAATGTCTATATATGTTTAGGAAATATTGAAATTACGGTAATTAGAAGAAATTACACTGTTCTATCTTTCCACACACAAAGGCACTAAGAGCTATCTCTCATTATAAAAGTTCTATAGTCTAATTCCAAACACAAACACTTCCAAATAATCCATCTCCTACACAAGAAGAAGGCTAAATTCAAGGTCCATCATATATGGAAGAAAATTCTTTATAGTACTCATATGAGTATCTGAGAAAGTCAAAATCAGAATAAAATTTACAAGATTGTGCATTGTATGAAACCTATTTACTATTATAATATGTTAATTGCCCAAACTCTGACATCTAAATTTCCATAGTGTCACTACTTATTGTGTTGCTTTGTTTATCTAATTTTACTGTTCATCACTAAACATATTCCAAGGATTTATTAAATAACCAAATTAGAATACATGATAAATATTCTGATGGAAGCATTTAGTTTTATAAAAAAATCCTATGTGTCTATTTAGCTACCAATTAATTATCCAAGCCCAAACCAATTTCCCAGTCAGAAGTCACTTTTTGGATGTGATTAGTTATAAATAAAAAAAACTCAGGATACCCAAATTTTAATTGTACACCAGGAATCTCCCGTCAATAAAGACAATTTAACTCTTTAAGGAAAATAGCACAGGACAATCCCTCATTCTTCATCTTAGTGAAATCCACCCTGTTCTCTCTCTTACATACAAGACCTATATGACTTAAACATGTAAAAAATGAGATCATGGCAAAATGAATCCAATCACTTTGCCCATCTTCACCACCAAAAACAATTACTATAATCCCTTCAGTAAATTAATTTCAAGAAAACAATCACTCATGTAACCTGCATGAAGCATGCAAAGTCAGCTAGTTTTGGCTCAATAACTAGGTCTACTTGGTGTTTATAAAATAGATTTATCTGCTTTTTTCAAATTAAGGCTGAAATTACACCAACTTAAATGTTCCGCGATTGTGTTGTTTTCCCTACCTCGTGGTGATTCTTGGATAGCCATTCCTTAGTGGTCCCGAGGGCAATCACTGCAGCAGGCTCATTCGGGAAACCTAAATGAAGAGCAGAATATAACAAATTTAAAAAAAGAAAAGATAAAGGCAATACAGAAGTCAATCATCGTATGATACTAGATTTTTTCTTGTTTAAACAGTATTCACACTCTGGCTGGTATGGCTCAATTAATTGAATGGGGGCCTGCAAACCAAAGGGTTGAGAGCTTGACTACCAGTCAGTACACCTTCCTGGGTTATGGGCCAGGTTCCCAGTAGGGGGCGCACGAGAAGAAGCCACACATTGATATTTCTCTCCTTCTCTTTCTCCTTCTCTTCCCCTCTCTCTAAAAAAAAATAAATAAAAACTCTTAAACAAAATAAAACTATTCAATTCAACCAACTGGTACTGTGGAAAGCAGGCTTTAGCAAAGTACACACAGATGTGAAACCTGTGGTCCTACAACAAGGCATTGAGAAGGCTAGTCCTACACCAATCTAAAGCTGAAAGCACTAAAAATTTAATTTTCTCTTCAATTCCACAATATCAATTAAACATATATTTGCATTTGCTTCATTGTTTTCAAAATAATTTCACATAATTCTCTTATAAAGTGTGCTCAAATTACGGGTTTTTTTAAAAATATATTTAATTGATTATGTTATAACAGATGTCCCATTTTTTTCTCCCTTTCATTCCCCTCTGCCCTGCATCCCTCCTTCCATCAGTATTTGCCCACCTTAGTTTATATCCATAAGTCATACATATAAGTTCTCTGGCTTCTCCATTTTCTATACTATTCTTAACCTCCCCCTGTCTATTTTATAGTTCCCATTTATGCTTCTTATTCCCTTTACCTTTTCCCCCACTGTCCTCTTTCCCTCCCCACTGATAACCCTCCAAGTAATCTGCGTTTCTGTGATTCTGTTCTTTTTCTAGTTGTTTGCTTAGCTCATTTTTGTTCTTGTTTTATGTTCAGGTATTGATAGTTGTGAGTTTGTTGTCATTTTATTGTTTATATTTTTGATCATCTTCTTTTTCTTAGATAAGTTCCTTTAACATTTCACATAATAAGGGCTTGGTGATGATGAACTCCTTTAACTTGGCCTTATCTGGGAAGCACTTTATCTGTCCTTCCATTCTAAATGATACCTTGGGTGGATAGAATAATCTTGGATGTAGGTCCTTGCCTTTCATGACTTCTAATTCCTGTTTCCAGGCACTTCTTCCTGTAAGGTTTCTTTGGAGAAATCAACTGATGGTCTTATGGAAATTCCTTTGTAGGTAACTGTCTCCTTTTCCTTTGCTGCCTTTAAGATTGTCCTCTTATCTTTAATCTTGGGTAACTTAATTATGATATGTCTTGGTGTATGCTTCCTGGGGTCCAACTTCTTTGGCACTCTTTGAGCTTCCTGGACTTCCTGAAAGTCTATTTTCTTTGCCACATTGGGGGAGTTATCCTCCATTCAAATAGGTTCTCAATTTTTTGCTCTTCCTCTTCTCCTTCTGGCATCCCTACGATTCAGATGTTGAAACATTTAAAGTTGTCCTGGGGGTCCCTAAGCCTCTCCTCACTTTTTTTTTGAATTCTTGTTTCTTCATTCTGTTCTTGTTGAATGTTTATTTCTTACTTCTGGTCCAAATCATTGATTTGAGTCCTGGTTTCCTTCCCATTTCTGTTAGTTCCCTGTATATTTCCCTTTATTTTACTTTTCATAGCCTTCACTTCTTCCTCTATTTTGTGACCATATTCAACCATTTTCATGAGCATCCTGATCACCAGTGTTTTGAACTGTGCATCTGACAGGTTGGCTATCACTTCATCACTTAGTTCTGTTTTTGAAGATTTGATCTGTTCTTTCATTTAGGCCTCTTTTTTTGGTCTCCAAGCACCTGTTACATAGTTAGGGTGGAGCTTTATGTACTCACAAGGGCAGGGCAGTGAAACCCAGGTTGCTGCTTTGTGTCACTGTATGTGGGGGAAGGATCCAAGATGGAACAATGTTGCTTGCTCAGCTTTCAGGTGGCTTTCAGTCACCTCCCCCACTACCCACAATTGAATTGAGTCCTTCTGATGCTGATTCCCGGGTGGGTGGGTTTGTATATATTCTACAGGCCCGTGGCTCTCTCCAATGAACTCTCCTGTGGGCTGGGAGTTTCTCCCAGAACTGCAATCCCTACAGGTTTTTTTCATTTAGAGATTTTGCGGCTTTATTTCCCCATGCTGGAACCCTGGGTTGCGCAGTCTGTCTTGCTCCCCAGTTTTCATTTCAGATTATTTACTTGGAAATGAGGGACTGCTTGGTCCACCACCCACCACCTCACTTCACCAGCCACTGCCTTATGCAAGTTCTCTCCACCTTGGCTGCCCATCTCAGCCCTTCCTACCAGTGTGGATGAATGTTTCTTTTTTAACTCCGTGGTGATTGGACTTTAATATGATTTAATTTTCTGACAGTTCTTGTTATTTTTTCTTTTTAAATTTATTGTTGCTCTTCTTTTGGTTGTGTGAGGAGGCAAATTGTATCTGCCTGTGCCTCCATCTTGGCCAGCAGTCCTCAAATTAAGGTTTATTATTCTCAGTTCATAAACTGAATAAAGATGGCTCAGAAAATGTACTGGTTGACCCAGTACATTACAAGGTCACAAGGCCAATAGTAGTCCATCAATGAACTGATACAAGACAGGACAACTTGCCAAACAGCCATACCATTGTAAGCTATTAACAGAATTCAAAGGAGGTAATGCCTAGTTTATTTGGGACCATTGGAAATGATGTTTGAGATTCAAATAACATGAACTGACCGGACTTTGTAGTATGAGTTTGGTTTTAGAAAAGTAGAAAGACTGACACAATTATACTATGTTTCAGTGAGCATGAGCACATACCAGAATTTCAAAAACTCATCCACAATGTCCATTTAGCCTACATAAACCAAACACATTCCTGAACTTGCAGAATCATCAGACCTTCTGTCAATAGATATAAAAGTACATGAAAGAATGACCTTATGAATTATAGTTTATGAAGCAGAAAGAAGAAATGGGATTGATTATTCTATTGAAACTACTCTCTTTAAGTTCCTCACTGGCTTCCTAATCACCAAATTCCATATCCTTTTTTTTAATAAACTTCTTGTAATGCTCTTTATTCATATATTATATACACATACATATTTATATACATAAAGTGTACTAATCTTAAATATATTTTAATATATTATGTAAGTATTACTATATAATTATTTAACCAAAACATAGATGAACATGAAGAACACTCCAGCACTACAGAAAGCTCTCACTTATCCCTTCCCAGTCAATATTGCTGTGCCCCAGAAGTAAATTCTATTTTGACATTTATCACTTTTCATTAGTTGTATCTGTTTTTGTATTTCATGTACATTGAATCATATAGTATATACTTTTTATGTCTTTCTTTTTCACTCATTTTGATGTCTGTGAGATGTAGCCATGTGTCCAGGCTTCCCTCAAGCACTGTTATATTACAGAGAGAATTGCTGTCATATGAAAAACATATAAAAGTTCTTGAAACTATGTAAATTCATCTGACATTTGAGATTGTGGATTTGTTTCGAACTCTTTCATTCCATTTATTTTCCTTAAATGGGGGCTTCAAAATATAAAACCATTCAAATTTGAAAAACTTGTTAATTAATTAATAAATTAGCTAATTCATTAAATTATTGAACCAGAAGAGTGTAAATGCAAACACACTTAAAGGGTCCCTGTTCTCTAAAGCCCAAAGCATAGAGTAGGAAATTGACAAGAGGTAACAGCAATGAAGCATGCCAAGTGCAATAGAGATGTGGGGACACAGATGAGAGATCTCAGAAAGGAAGAGGAAGCTTTCTTCCTAGGAAACAGTAAAATGTTTGGGGAAGAGAACTATAAAATGGGGAGCAAAGGAGATGTTGTCCTCAGAAGTAAGCTTATGAACAGCAAGGGATTCGTGGGAAAGATGAGGGAAAGTGAAGTGGGGAAGAAAGCATCTGGAGTACCTGTGGATGGCAAAGAAAAACAAGGAAGGGAGTATGGCTATTTGTGCTTAGTGGTTAAGCACTGGAGGCTTGTTCAATTCACCTTCCCCTGAGTTTAATACCTATATTTTTAGTCACCTGAATACCTCCTCCAGGTGTGCTAAAGAACCAGGAAAGTAACAAGTACTCTTCTGCAAGACAAACCACTTCCTAACTTCCCAGTTTTTGCCTACGATTTTAGTTCTCTACTAGTCACTAAAGTATTATGACTGTTTTCCCTCCTGGTGGCTAGTAACTCAGTCCCTCTGAATATTTTACACCACCCCTTCCTTACTTTTTTCTTCTGATTGATCTCATTCAAGATATGATCCACCTCATCCTGACAAGTGCAGTCAACTCACAACTATGCTTCTTTGGTCATCTCCCCTTCTTCAGTCTATCTGGCACACTGACTGCAAGCGATTTTTCCTGAAGTATAGTTACCACAAGTTTACATCAAACAACGGCAGCCTTTGCTGACACTCCAGCTCATGCAGAATAAACTTTCTTTTAGCTTGGCATTATATTCCCCAAAGGACCTTTCCAGATTTACTCCTTAGTTTTCCTTGTTTGTTCTCCTTCCCTGAAAATTCTTCTTCAACTTTTTGATGTTTAAGAAGTACTTAAATCATAAAATTGTAGGGCTATATAAAGCTAATAAATTCTGTAATCACACTCAGTTGTAGTGGCCATTAACATTAACCTTTAGAAGACGTAATTCCCCACAGGGAAATCATATAAGTTTTTATAGAACCACAGCAACAATGGTCAGTTCTCAATTATTTGTGACCTCCTGGTCATTTCCGCACATTCATCAAAGCCTCTGGCACTTAGTTATGATTTTCTCTACCTCAAAGCTGCCATAATGCCTGGGTGATTTCAGTCCCCCCAAAATGACCCACCAAACACCTGGCCTGCCAGGTCCTTGACCTGGTTATTAGCAACAATAACCTCCACTCTACCTCCTCCCCAGATCACATCATGGACCTGCATGTAACATTTCCATTAAAAAATTACTAATT